GTTTACACAAAGCTTTTGGTAAATATGAGATTTAGTGGAAAAATGAAATGAATATAAATAGGAGGTAGTAAGAAGCTTCCAAATATATTGTTGGTATACAAATTGTTCCTAGGATGGGTGTAATTTGTATATATGTATGTAAATATTACTAATGTAGCAACATTAGTTAATAAACCAATTAGATACATGTGGTTGAGTTATATTATTTTTACGACGGACTTACCTTAAACACTTATTAAAGTCTCTTTAGTCTCCTAGTTTTTAAAATCAAAATGAAACACACTTGTTTTAATATTTATTTTTTATATTTTTATTTATTTCATCCATTTATACTGCACCCTCATAAATCTACCTCAACACATTTCATTTCTCTTTAGCACTCATTATCATAAATCTATATAATCATAATAATACTTAACGTTATGCAACATTTTCTTATTTTTTTTATTATTACTTGTTTTTTTACTGTTATTACAAATCTAAATTAATAGCTACATACAGATTATAAAAAGGTGAGGGTAGATAGACTGTAGAGATATTAATCAAATGTTTGGAAATCAGATGCTTTTTGTTATATATATGTAAATGCATATTATTATATGTATATAACGGGTTAAGAAAATGTATTAACGGAAATCTTTTTTATTTTTAACTTCGTACAATAATTTAGACTTTTCGAAGTCAAGAATATCTTTTCTGAATTTACATTTAAATATCGGAAAATTGCGAGAAATCATTATTAGTAGAGTACATTGAAAAATCTGAACTAGAAATTTTTCTCATTTTTAATGCTAATTGAACTGAAATATTAAATTGAGAGATAGCGAAAAATTTTAATTTTAAATTAATTTTAATTTTTCATATTTTTCTGGTCAGTTTTATGCATTTGAATGAAAATTTGAAATTTAACTGTATAACTTTACACCAGGCAAAAAATCAAAACTTTGCAGCCAATATATATGTATCTACACCAATGTTTTTCTAATAACTTTGTGTTTCTTTTTTGGTTTTTACTTTTATATATGTTTTCGTTACTTTACAACTCTGCTAATATGTATGCTCTATAAGTGAATATTTTATATATACGATAAAATGCTTTAAATCTTACAAATTTTCGTTTAATTTTTTTTCTTTCTATTTTTGTGCTATTTTTATACAGTAGCTTAGTTGTTAAAATGGCTTTTTAAACATATTTACGCTATATGTATATTTGAATATAATTTTAATTCTTTTTCTGTATGCACTTTTACACTATTTATATATTTATTAAATACTAAAGCGTTATTGCACTTATTCCGTCCTATGGATTATTTTTATTTGCTTAAATATAGCTTCATTTATGTTTAACTTAAAAGTGTGTATTTATAAATAATATATTCGTACAATATAATTACCATATCTTAAATATTCTATTTTATGCATTTATTAAATTTGCGAATCCTACTTACACAACATTTTTCTATATATTTATTTGTATATCTGCCTATTGGCTTATATCTACTTAAATATTTATATTATTTTCTATAATTTCAGCGCTCAGACTTAGACTTTTGCTGTTGATATATGCTTGTAACTATAATAAGTATTATATTAAATGTATATATAATACATATACATATGTATATAAATTTACGCGTGTATTTTTGTTTTCGTTCTTTTTTCATATTTGCGAATCTACATTTTTCTCTTGCACTACAGCAAGAAAACTATTACATTGCCTACACTCCTATAATAAACTATACTTTTTTATCGTAATGTATGCCTACCACAAATTATATATATTTTATAATTTTGTTATTTATTTGTTGAATTTTTTTATATTCTATGGTTAATGGCGTGCTTAAATCGTATTTACACGTTCGTGCTTTTTACACTTACTATTTTTTTTAATGTAATTTTAAAATCTCAACTTTTTTTTTTTGCCCTCAGCACTTTAATTTTTTCAACTACACATTTCACAATTCCAGCTGGATTTTGCTAGTCGTTATATAGATATTGGAGTGGATTCGTGCTTTGTTGAATATTTTCTTTCACTGTTTATACTTATACATATATTTTTTATATTTGTTTACTATTTATATTTATTTCTACTTTGACTTTTACGCGCATTTTCATACCAATTTCCTAAAATATACATAATCTAAAGCGGTTCGCAATCATTCTTCACTTTTATGAATTAACAACGCTGTAAGGTTTTAAA